ATCTTACAGATAGTATCGAAAACTTTACCAAGCCTCAGATTTCGGTTGGAAGATTTAAAATGTTAATCATTTCAGCTCATCTGGACTTACATTAGTACCTGCCATCTACAATATATTTGCATCTTTTTTACCAACCACCCAATTTCCAAGTATGGTAATCAGTACATCTCCATTGATCATCGTTCGTGATGCAAATCGATGTATATATACAAGCTTCCCATAACACGACAAAGGAATGTTATTAGATCAGCCCCACATCTGGTAACTGTACACTTGTTGCAGCAGCATTCGGGCTATCTACCTGCCTGCAGGTTACCACCACAAATCTGCGCGCTTATAGCCAGCCAAACGGTGTCGTACCGTTTTAACGTCATGAATATAGTCCAGGTGATCAACAGTATACATATACCGACTTATGATGCATTTTCACGGATTTTGGGGACTTCGCACACACAGCGTTCATCCTGTTACAAGGAGCGCTACGTCAGGGAATTGACAAGGTAAGGTAAGATAAGTGAAACTTGGTGTCTCGATTTTAGGGTATGTTCATAGTTAAGATGATTACTGCGAGGTTTTCTTCGCTACCTTGATGATCGCTTCCTCCTGTAAAACAAAAATGTTTTAAGTTGGGAGCGTTCATGGCGACGACGCATTCTGCGCCGCTACCGTCGCTTCCTCGCGCTCAACTGCGCGGAAGTCCAAATATTTTGTTTTTACCTGGCTGTCAGGAGGGAAACATCGGGGTAGGCTTAGCTATGATTGGTTCCTCAGCAAGAATTGGATTACTGTGCAAGTTGGTGTACTTGCGATCGTCCAGAAGAAGTGGAGTCTTTCCTTGTCTCTCTTCAATTCCAGGGAAAGATGATACTCTCCAAGTTCCTGTCTCGCTTCGTTTACTGGATGTGTACTGTAGTTTTTTTTGGTAGAGAACTAAACATCCAACACTTGGATACTAGAGATAAATCAGTCTCACTGTTACTGTTACTTCAAGCAGCAGCGGTGGCCGCAGTATACTCTTCGGTCTCCTAATCAGTCGCCGTGCGCTGTGCGGGTTCGAATGCCGTCCCAAGAGGAATTTTTCTCTTGGCTATGGATGTTGTGATTGTCCGTAGGTGGTAGACGGTCTCTGACTATCGAACGCAGAGGTACCACCCGGCAGATCTCGTAGGCAGCGCCAGAATGTGTGCATGATGCATGCGCACGTGTTCCCTCGCCAGAGTCCGTGTGGCGTTCCCCCTTTCCCCTGTATCCCCCTATAGCCCCACGGAATCCCATGAGTGTTTAGGCCTCAGACCTTCGTGGTAGTTGGAGTACAAAAAAAATTTTTGCATCCTGCCAAGCGAATAGTACGCTTGTGAACAAATGAAACATTAAGAACCGCGTTCGAAGAGAGAAGAGAAAACATCATGGGTGAATTCGGTATGAACACCCTCCATCCATGAAGAAAGTCGCGAGGACGCTCTCATCGAGGTAGCGAGGAAAGCATCATATAGTGAAAGATGCTTACTGTGATGCTTTCTTAGTCTTCGTCAGGTATCAGAAAAGTTACCACAGGGATAACTGGGTTGTGGCGATCAAGCGTTCATAGCGACGTCGCTTTTTGATCCTTCGATGTCGGCTCTTTCTATCATTGCACAGATCATTTCATTTATCTGTGTCTCTCAAACTTCTATGAAAAGTATTATTTACGCCTTCTCGGGGAACAATGTAACGATATGGAAATGATTTCACGGAAACTCTTCTCCCATCTCCTAGGCTATAAACGATTGCGGCTTTAGTGTGTGAGAGTTGCGAGTGTGTCTGCAGAGATACGGAAATGTGGTGTTGGGTGACTAGCTAGCGGCTGGAACTGTGGGTCACTTGGGCACTTGCTTTATATCATCTGCCGTGACATTACCGCGCTGGATCAGCACCGGACGACGATGGAACGGAACGGGAAGACTCTCCGACACAATCAACGGTTCTATAGGCGGCTTCGTAATGTCCACTTGGCACGGAAATGCGGCACTGCATGCGATATGTATGTAGGTACAGCCGATTTCCGTTTATATCTTCTAAGCCAATAACATCGGTCAACAAATTTGTACCAAAAAAGCTGGCCAAGCTTAAATGGGGTTTTGGGCCCAGAACGAATCAGTTTGATATATTTTGAGTTTTATTTTGATGGGTTCAGTCCAAGTACAACTCACAAATTGTACGCCTTAAGCAGGATTCCCAGTAATTTGTCAATCTGACGGGACTACATGAAAATAGGTCGGAAATGTCAAAAAGCATCGCCGGGCTAGAAAAACACTGCCCTTTTGGAATCTCCATTTTAATAAAACAAAATACTCCTAATTGCATACAAAAGAAAAATCTGGAGGAAATGCGCATTCTCTGTTGGTTTGGAGAATGTCATAAATCAAACTTTTCCTAGAAGCACATCCAACCAGCCTATAAGTCTGCTTAGAAAACCAGTATTGGTTCATCTTCGTAAAGGTGCATATACAGAATATGTAGAATGAAAAGTTCCACCATTTCAAATATTATAGTGTGTTCTTTCGCTAAGTTATTCGACGAAGGCTTCCATAAGAAGGCAATGATATTTTCCTTCCACCCTTTCATCTCCATAAATCCCCTAAATATTTACTCAAGAATACTGCCTTTGTGACATATTTTATGCTTGAACGACCTGAGCATAAGGTTTAAGCAAAATATGAAATAATATTGGAGGAAGCACTGGGGGTAACAAAACTTCTAACCTCTATGATTTTGGTGTTTCATTTTGAAGACATGCTACTTAAATGTAGATGACAAAGCTGTTTACCAGGTGCAAGGGAGTCAAGAGTTTCCAGTTCCGTTGGTAACTCAAGAAGTAAACAGAGACAATGTCTAATCCGCTAATCGACGAATTAGGAGAATTTGTCCCAATTCCAGTCGAACCTCATCGACTGTCGAAGTGTTTTATGTCCGATCTCGTTCAAGATAACAACCTCAGCTTAGTTCCCACCGAACCGCCTGTTGTTTGGACTACCGGCTACTGTATCTAATATACATTTTGTTACCTACATACCATTGTCGCAGTTGATTTGATTCTCCTCCAAGTAACGGCAACGACGCCATTACCATCTTTCCAATCATTCCCATGTCCCCAGTACTCTGATAATACAGTCAGGTTGTAGATTAAATGGCGAAAAAAATTATATACATGCTATTTAGCAGGTAATTACTTGGATGCCGAGAGCATATAAGGTATTTCATATTCCTATCGTTGAAATTTTGTTTAAATGACCTGATACATTACATGTCATTTGTGAGTGTTGAACGTACCAGTTATTGATCCTAAATTTCTTCAATGAAAATTTCGAAATTGAGTGACGCTTATGCAAATTTGTTATGGGGTTGGCGAAAAATTCATCCCGAATTACTGATATAAATAGTATCAGATATAGGAATTTCATGCTAACACGTGGCTCTCATTTCTGCTAGTGTACTTTTCTGTCAGTCAATCGTCTGCTGATGTTTTTGCGTTAATGCTGCTTCATTTTTTTAAGATTGGTGCAGTTGCATTGTAGTTACTACCAAAAAGCAAACTAGAAAACTTTATTTTTCGACTTCCTGATCGTGAACAAAACAAATTTTTTAGTGGGGACTCCTTCTTTTGAGCATTTTTCAGCTATTTTCATTTACATCTGAAGTTGATGGTTCATTGAAATCCAGTAATAATTGCTGTCAAGCTTACAAAACTTTTATTATAGATCTCACATTAAATTACGACAAAAAATGTATTCCGAGTAATCGGATTACATGTTATGTTATCAACAAAAATTTAACTTTTTAATCCTAAGAATAAGATCACAACTTCTAGAACGCATATAGAACACAAAATAAACAATGCTACAAGGTCTTGTAAAAATATCTTATGGGGGCTTCACTGTAGAGCATGACCATAAAAGATACTACCTGTTCTTTTTTTTTGACTATACTCTCACTAACATGGACCTCACGGGATGGTACCTATGTAAAACTATTAACACATTTAGATCGCGAAGGGGCAGGGTAGCCACCGCACGATGTTGCTTATTTTTTACGCCACGTATAACAATGGCTCCGAAAGTCTAATCCTCTAACTGTTTGATTTCCGTTAAATAAGACATTTCTTAGAAAAACAGTCTAACTTCAGTACAGTTTCATTGATATGGTACTCTATCCATTAGGCTGGTTCCAAAGTTTTTGAAATAAATAGTTCTAATAACAGATTCGTAAAAAGCGACACGAAAACTATATAAATTTTCACATAAGTCATTAGAGTTTGATTTTCGTGATGTCGATATTGTATTGAGATCGAACGAGAATACATTAGTGTTGTCTAAAGAAGTGAGATCTCACAAAATATTCTTTTTGGGCCAGTATTGTACAATATGGAATCAGCAACCAAACTGTAGGTTTAGTTCGTACCTGCGATCAAAATGAGTTAATTGTTTTATATGCAGAGCACTAGGTGATACTGCGTTAAATTATGATAGTAAATGCAACTGTGTGACTCGCCGCATAAATGAGGAAAATATATTTTCCACAAGCCAAGAGGAACGCTCGAGTGCATCTCACAAGTGCGGAATACGGCCTCCTCACATGTTTGGGGTGCTGCCATCCAGACTTCTCTAATGAACAGTGTCGGGACCTTTTCGCACCGGAGGGCCGTCGGCGATCTGGCTATCTGCTACCGCTATGCCAACGGGGTTTGCCTGATATGTCTGCCAAACAGACCCGCTTGACTTCGGCCTCTCATCCTAACCGTGTCGAACTTCGTAGATCCAGAACTAGCTGATACGACTGCTCCTTTGTTCATAGGCTATTGTGATTTAGGAACAATCTATTCTCTAAAAAGGTCCTACATACCGCGCTTGCTTAAACAAAATTGTCCTGCGGATGTTAGGATGATGGAAAGTAAGGATCTTGTAGCACAAGTAACAAACTTCTGAATCTGCAGATATTTTTTGTCCTTGTATTATTTTATCCACAGTTTGACCACACTACTAATCTAATGAAGCTTATTAATTCGGAAGCTGCACAATCGTCTACCTGTTATTGTCTACCGAACTGCAGATCCCGCGAGTTATTGCGTCCTGAAAGAAAGCGATAACATTAGTTGTTGAATGTAGGCAACGACCAAGAAGCACCGGTGTCCCAGCAGAGACCTAGAAACCAACTGTGATCAATGCAAATTCCTTCAAAGTACCGCTAAACGCACCATAAGTTGTCGATTTCAATGTTCGCGGAGATAAGCACAGATAGATAAGATTACGCTGAAGGATGGGCACAACCAGTGCATCCTTACAGACATTCTCTATGTTGTAACTCCGTATTTGCACTGCAGAATGCAAAAATGGCTCAATAAATTAATCATAGATTTAGAACGATTTTCAAGTTACGCGACTAACTACGGCAAAGATAACCTCAAAAGATTTTGGAGTAGAGTACTGTCGACTTGGCAATGGGGTACTCTTCGCCCAGACTAGGGTAGAATTCGAATACTCGATATCTTGAATCATATTCAGAATACATTCAGCTGGTATTCGAGTATTATTCGAATACATTTGTGTGATTGATATTTGGTATTCGACTGTACTCTTTTTTGGCTAATACTCGGCATTCTCGATTCTAAATACCATTTCTGAACCTCAATACTCGAATGCCCACTTTGTATGCAGATCCCAGTATTCAAATCCTGTATTGAACTCCTGTTTTTAAATACTGTCGGGCTATTCTTATTAATATTGCGTTACGCTTTACGCAACGTAAGCGTGTAAAAGCACGTCCGCGGTTATTGTGGATGGCACAGAAGAAATACCTACGCAAAGCTATTTTGTGTGTGTGGTGCTTCTGAATTCGCGATGGCGACAGGTCGCTCAAGGAACGAGATTAGATTACTCTTGAGCTTGTGCAGTATTGCCATTCTATTTTATTATAATTTTTTATACCTGTTATATTTTTTGTATGATATCAGGTAAAGTAGATATACAATAAGAAGGTAAGTTTATTTTTCAGTTATGTAGGTACATTGTGTAAGATTCATATATGTTCTTATTACGCTTAATTATATCAATTTTCTATAAAATTCTAATAAAAATATTTGTTATTATAAAATTAATTTGTCTATCCTCACTATGACCGTAGCAAAATATTATTTTAAGTCTTATTTAATTATAGTCATGTAGTTTTAACTTTTATATATATATATATATTTGTATAACTTAAGCACATACATAAAAATAAAGTTTGAAGGGCTCATACGTTTTTTTAGTTGGAATATTCAAAAGGTATTCATATTTAAATACTGTGTTTAAACGCTCATCAGAATCAATACATTTTGAGTTTCGTTACAACAAGCGCTATTATAATGACTACGTCGTATAATACGTGCAATGCCTTTCCAAATAGCTGCTAAAAAGAGCGAAGATCGTTTGGTAAGTTTTTTAATAATTGGCGCAAATAAAATATTGGGGTGTTAGCTTCGTTTATAACGTTTGTCGCAACGTTTCAATGCAGACAGACGTGTGAGACGTTAACACTGTTATTATCATTGAAGGTGAAACATCCAATGCAGGCATTACTAAGAATTACTGTTTGTCACCTTGCATCATCTACGATAAGTACAATAGAGATGAAATAAGAGGGAAATAAAAATGTCTAAGCTGTAGAATGCTTCCAGGGATTTAACTGATAAGGGTGTGAATATGGTCGTAGCAATCAAGGGGAAAGATACAAAAGCTCTACTGAAATCACCTCATGGTCGCAGAAAAATATTTACTGTCTAGAACTGTGACCTATTTAAGATGCAGCTCTGAATTAATTGAAAACTGAGATATACGACTACATGAGACAGCAGCCTGGTGCATTTTTATGCCTACAGATAAGAACATTTTATGGATGATTAGACGAGTACTCATAAATTTTTACGATCAGCTCCTTTCCGGAACCAAATTTCGAATGGACTGGTGCATATTGATCTTAAAATACCTCATATATCGGTATCATTATATTTCGTCCTCGTTCCGTAAATAAGAACAAACGTAGTCTCTCTATTCCACACCGTACATCACGAATTTTTAAAGTAAACAAACCGCCCCGTCCGCTACCCCGCTACCCGGCCACGTCGGTGGTACCGTCGTGTGCATGTCTCATTCTCTGTTTTCGTGCCGTACAACGCGTTTCGTTGCCGACCGAAATTTCGTATAATAGTGCTCCGCCTAGTTTTTTGTTTGCGATGTCAGAAAAGCGCAAGAGACCTGATTTTAGTGACTCGGACAGTGATTATATCATTTGGAAAATTGCAAGATTGAAGAAGCACCATTCAAAGGGCAGAAGGTCTAACCGTTCTCCATCCCCCCAGAGTGATGTTTTTACCACGCCCGATCACTCGGACGACGACGATGTGCCGTTATCAGCTTTTGCGGCCAGGAATGCTGATGCCGTGGATTCCGAGGTTGCCGGCTCATGCATAACCAACACCACTCCAATTGAAGGTTTGTTTTGAATTAAATTAGTACTGAATTGAGAGTATTTTGGAACAATTTGGCATGATGGGAATCTACGAATCATTAGATTTAATTTTGTAAAATATTATGGCATATTTTACATTACAAATAATACCTATCATGACACTTTATTTTGTAAATAATTATGGTATTTTTTACAAGATTTGTTGTCAATTTTTTGAAAATACTATGGTGTATTTTCCTTGCATGGTATTTTTTACAAGTTGTGCTGTCAATTTTTCGAAAATACTATGGTGTATTTTCCCTGCACTTCTTTGATTGTTTGTGAAATATTATGGCATATTTTACACAAAATTACCATGACACTCCAGTACAATTATGGTATTGTTTCACATATTTGTTATCAGTTTTCTGAAATATTATGACATATTTTACACAAAATTGCCATGACAATCCAGTACAATTATGGTATTGTTTCACATAATTATTGGTTATCAGTTTTCTGAAATATTATGGCATATTTTAGATCTACGACCGTTTATTATATAATACGGTTCCTCTCTTACAGATGGGGGAAGTTCAACTCTAGATGCTAGTATACTAGCTCTTCTGGGAGATGAAAAGCCATCTGCAGACGTGCTTGGACCAAGCATTCATGTGGATCTAACTAGCAGATGGTCATTTATTTTAAGCAACGGGTTAAGCGAGGCCTCCGTCAATACCTTGCTCAAAAAATATCCCCCTCCTGAAAACTGCCCACTTTTAAAATGCCCCCGTATAAATCCAGAAGTTGCCTCAGCGATTAATGAACAAGTAGCTCGTAGAGACTCAAACCTCAATGGGCTTCAGAACCAAATAGGAGCTGCACTGTCAGCATTGGGTCAACTAGCATCAGCAGCTGTGTCTGAAGAAGGGGGGGGGAACCTGGCTTATGTTGAATTAGCTAGTGATGCTAGTAGATTACTTTTAGATTTTTATCACAAATACTCGGTAATCCGTAGAGATTTATTGATACTGAATTTACGGAAAGATCTCAAAGAAACTCTGACTAATGTGTCTGCTGACGGATGGTTGTTCGGCAAGGATCTCGGTGAGCGAATAAAAGCTACCAAGGATATTGAAAAATCTGGTTTGGACCTGAAACCTACTAGAGTATCTAGACCTAGTACCTCATTTAAACAACCTGCCAAACAGGTTCCGGAAAACTTTTACCGTCCACCTCGTCGAACACAAAGGGGAAACATTCGAGGTGGGCGGCCGATAAAGATCCCAAATCCCTCTCAGTCGTTCCAAAAAAGGCCTCATCAAACACAGAGAAGAACCTCGGACCAGGATCGTCGTCGCCGACAGGATGTACGTCAATACCACAAACAGAATCGATAGATCAGAGCGAGGTGGGTTGCACAGTTGGTCGATTACGTAATTATTTACCTACGTGGCAAGAAATTACTAAAGATAAAAATATTTTATCATGGATTTCTGGTTTGAAAATTCCTTTTGTCACCAGACCAATCCAAAAGGTACGACCCTTGGAGAGGCATTGGTCAAATTCAGAGAAGTCAGCCTTAAGAGAATCAATTCAAGAGTTATTAGCCTCTGGCGCTATTCAAAAAGTCACACATTATAAAGGAGAATACATATCAAGTATTTTCCTAGTTCCTAAAACTGATGGTTCAAAGCGTTTAATCTTAAACTTAAAATCTCTTAATAACTTTATTAAAGCAGAACATTTTAAGCTTGAAGACCAAAGAACAGTATGCAATATTATTCAGGAAAATTATTTCATGTCCACCCTGGATTTGAAGCATGCATACTATTTAGTTCCCATTAATAAACATTATAAGCAGTTTTTAAGATTCAGGTTTGATGGTGAATTATTTGAATATAATTGCATACCTTTTGGCCTCAATTGTGCCCCTCTTGTATTCACCAAATTAATGAAACCTGTCCTTTCATTTCTTAGAGGACAAGGCTTACTTTCGGTGCTGTATCTTGATGATTTTTTATTATTGGGAAGAACTTTTGATGAATGCCAGAAAAATGTTTCCTTAACTATCAATTTTCTAGAGAAATTGGGCTTTCTTATATATTATCAAAAGAGTGTTATAACTCCGTCAAAGACTGTTCGATATCTAGGGTTTACTTATGATTCTCAAGATATGTCAATTTCTATACCGGAGGATAAGAAAGATTCACTTCTAAGAGATGTTAGATATCTTTTAAGGAATACGCGCTGTAAGATACGCTTTTTCGCCAAAATAATCGGAAAATTAATTTCTATATGCCCGGCTGTTCGTTATGGATGGTTGTATACTAAATTAATGGAAAGAGAAAAATTTTTAGCCTTGAAGCGAACAGATGGAAATTATGATAGAATTATGGCTATTTCTCCACTGTTATATAACGATCTCAGGTGGTGGCTATCGCATATAGAAAATGATAGTACCAACTCTATTAAGTTGGATTTTTTCCAATTGGAAATTTTTTCAGATGCCTGCTTAACGGGCTGGGGAATATTTTGTAATAATGTTAGATCTCATGGTTTTTGGTCCTTAGAAGAAAGGAAAGAACACATTAATTATTTAGAATTAAAGGCAGCATTTTTTGGTTTAAAATGTTGTGCCGGTCATCTTTCTAACCAAAATATTCTCTTACGCATTGATAATACTACAGCCATTGCCTATATAAATCGAATGGGAGGCATTCAATATTTTAAATTAAATTCACTGTGTCGTGAGATTTGGCAGTGGTGTGAAAGCAAAAATTTATTTATATATGCGTCTTACATTAACAGTAAGGATAACATAATTGCAGACATAGAATCACGTAGGTTACATCCTGAGACGGAATGGGAGTTGAACGACAAATATTTCAGAGAAATTGTTTCAAGATTTGGAATCCCAGAAATAGATCTTTTCGCTAGTCGCATTAACTCTAAATGTCCAATTTTTATTTCGTGGCATCCTGATCCTCTTGCATTCAAAGTGGACGCTTTTACTGTCAATTGGGGTACTTATCATTTTTATGCCTTCCCCCCTTTTTCAATAATACTTAAAGTTGTGCATAAAATCATTAGAGACAGGGCCCAAGGTATAGTAGTTGTGCCGCATTGGCCTACACAGCCTTGGTACCCCATTTTTACATCTCTTCTTAAAAAGCCACCAATTTATTTTCCGGCTAGTAAAGATGTTCTTTTATGTTTTGACAGATCTCAGACACATCCCTTATGGCCACAACTTATCCTGGTTGCAGGTCTCTTATCCGGCAGGGTTTAGAATTAAGAGGAACGCCGAAGTCTGCAATTGAGGTCTGCCTTGCTTCAATTACAGAATCTACTGTTAAACAATATGATTCCGGTTTAAAGCGATGGTATCAATTCTGTAAATCCAGAAATGAGAGTTGCTTCACTGCTTCAATTGCGACTGTCCTCGAGTTTTTGCAGGAAGAATATAATAAGGGAGCGTCATATGGTACACTCAATTCCCATCGATCCGCTTTAGCCCAGGTTTTAGGCCCCTCATTAGCACAAGATTTTCGCGTAAAACGGTTTTTTAAAGGTGTATTTCATTTGAGACCTAGTTTGCCGAAGTATCAAAATATCTGGGATCCATCACTTGTCTTAGATTATTTGCGAACACTAACTAATGGAGATTGCACACTAGAGCAAATATCATATAAATTAGCAACATTGTTAGCTCTTACCTCAGCTCAAAGAGTTCAAACGCTTTCTCTTATTCAACTTGATGACATAAAATCTTCATCCCAAGGCGTTCAGATATTTATTCGCGATCGTATAAAAACCTCTGGGCCAGGTAAAGCCCAGCCTGTTATTTCTTTACCCTTTTTCAGAAGCGATGAAAATATTTGTGTCGCCAGCACTCTCCTATTTTATATAGAAAAAACGAAGGATGTAAGAAATGCTGTATGTAACAGGCTCTTAATCACCTTTAAAAGACCGTACCATAATGCCTCATCACAAACACTTTCACGTTGGATTCGAAATGTTTTAATTAAAGCTGGTATTGATACCTCTAAATTTGCATCTCATTCAACAAGACATGCATCTACTTCCTTAGCGGATCGTAGAGGTGTATCAATAGATATAATTAGGTCAGCTGCTGGTTGGACCGGACATTCAAAAACATTTGCAAACTTCTATAAGAGACCGGTTTGTGATTCTTATGCTTATGCGAGGGTCATATTAGATCAACCAGCTACATAACTAATTATTATTTTCACTTAACAATAGTATTCCTTAGTTATTCCTTATGATAAATTATGCCAGTGTTGTAAACTATTTCTGAGTTTAGGAACTAGCTAAATATTTAACTAGTTACTCTGTTTTCTTAAATACCTTAGGGTTATTCCCTAGTTTAATGTTGTTTGATGTTATAATGTTATGTTTTATGTTTACTATTATATAATGTTAATGTTGTTCTTCCGCTGTTGAATTCATTCCAGTATTTCGAATGTGTTTCTTATTCGAATTATATTCGTTAAAATAAGATTTTGGAACTTCTTATTTTCCTCTTATAGAGCCTTAAATTTTTTGTTTCGTCTGCAGTTGCACAATTATTTGCTTTAAACATCTACGTTTGTTCTTATTTACGGAACGAGGACGAAATATAATTACTAAATCAAACGAACTTACCTGTAATGAAGTTCGATTGTAATTATATGAAGTCCTCGTGAAGTAAATAAGTCCCTCCCTCCCCGTTTTATTTTTCCCTATTATTAATTGCATCAACTGCAGACAGATCTTTGAATAATGAGACATGCACACGACGGTACCACCGACGTGGCCGGGTAGCGGGGTAGCGGACGGGGCGGTTTGTTTACTTTAAAAATTCGTGATGTACGGTGTGGAATAGAGAGACTACGTTTGTTCTTATTTACTTCACGAGGACTTCATATAATTACAATCGAACTTCATTACAGGTAAGTTCGTTTGATTTAGTAATTATCTTAACAGCACCAATCACTTGTTCTATTAGCAACAGATATGAAACATTACAAAGCCATCTCCAGGCTTGGTACATTCTTGCGTGTAGCATTACCTCATATATTCAGCTGATCTACGCATCTCAGTAATGACCTTTTAATGTTCCTAGCTCCAAACCAAATTTACATGTATTTTGCCAATTCGTCTTGACCGTTGAAGTGCACGTTCTAAGCAAGCATTTGTAGCCGTAAATCATCGCTAGTGTAAAATGCGTATAAGTAAAGCATTGTCAGTACGAGGAGGCATTTCAGCCCTAACGACATGTCATCAATCGTGCTGTGTGGTCGTTACTCCTTCAACGCTGACTGTTAATTACTAAGCAGATGAAGTCAAGTAGAGTGAATGTATATTAGCTACCCTCGCTATTAATGATCTATCTCTGAGTCTAAAATATTCATCTATACCACTCCATAATTCGACATTAACGTTTAAGGTACATGCGTCTCCAATTCAACAAAGGATCTACAAGTATAAGCGCGGTTTTCGGCTCTGACAATATATGAGATTTTTAATTTTTTTTATCATAGAGCATAATGTTCATCGACATTTCTCTTTCACTTCCCACTTCACACTGGCGAGGAAGTATTGTAATTTCGAAAAATTATACCTTTTGGCAGCTATATGACATATACAGGATGTAAACGTTATGATAGTCATTATTTAAATGGGTGATAGAGGGGGTTGAAAGAAGCAAAAATTTTCATATAAGAAAAAACGGCATTTTTTTAGAGAAAAGCGACTTTAAAGTAAAATAAAATCTGACAACGCCGCAATGTCCGACGCAAACTAAGACGGAACGCAGTGTAAATAAAGATGGATTTTGTTATTTTTGGCTCTTAGGTATTATTTTATTATTTGATAATGTACTCGTAAAATACAAACAATTAAAAAACGGACTTACCATCAACTGCCTCAGCGCCTGGTGTGTGAAAGTTTATTGAACGTATTAAAAAAATCCACTTATAAATTGGGAACACAATTTTGATACATACATTGTTTTTCTTTTTAAAACCCACACTGCACTTTTTTTGTATTTAAAGAAGGTGTTCAAAATGTCGTCCTCCACTTTCCACACAAGCTTCGTTACGACGAACCCAGTTTCTTCTTACTCTAGGTCCTCGAAGTTGTCCATTTATTATTTCAGCCGCATTAAAAAAATTTTCAACGTACGCGAAAAAAAACAAAACAACATACTAAGTCAGTATTACTAACCACTGTTACCGTTTGTTATCGATTGCAGGTTCGATAAGAGTGATGATGACCGACGCGCTGTTGCCATGTGTGTTTTAAATATTCAATTTAATGAAACTTGCTTACTTACTGACTACAAATTTTGGCTTAACTTAGAAAAACTTAATGCCATTTATGTGTTAATTACCCAATTTAAAAACGTTTTAGATTGGTTTATAAGAATTAGTAAGATTGTGGTGATTATGTTCGATATAAAGCACTTAAAGTTGTAAAGTATAAAGCCATTTAGACAAAAATCTATTGACTTTTGGACCATGGGTCATATGAACTTTTTGACTTGTTTTGACCTCCCCTATTACCCATTTCAATAATGACTACCATAACGTTTCCATCTGTCTGTCTGTCTATCTGCCTGCCCGCTAATTCTTTGTTCGCCTAAAACTTGGAAAGAACTGGACGAATCGGTACAGTGGCGGCGGAGAAAAAAGGCCACAAACCAAAAATACAGAAATCGCTTAAACTTCGTTTTTTGTCGTTCCAGTGACTATGAGGAAATTGTCAGGGGTGAAAAATAGGGGGTGGGGTGTGGGGGGTCGAGGATACGCTCTGTATCTCAATTTTGTTTACATTAGTAATATAATAAACTTCAAACCCCGGTAATTCTGCACACCTATTAGACATTATTTCACAGCTCGTAGATTTAACCGTACGTCTGCCCTTAAAACTCGCGTGCGGTGTGCCATTGAGACACCCAATATTTTCCCAGTCCAGAAAATCGTAAGCCGTAATCCTTGGACCTAAACGAATTTTTGTTACCGCAGTTGCCACAAATTGGAACCTGGCTACCACTACACCGTCTTTCAGGTCATCCAAGGGGACTAGTCAGTTGTTTAGTTCTCATTATGAGCAGGATCGTAGACTTCTACTACAACAAAAAATGTTGTATCACACCATTCACCGCAGTCTTCCGAAAGCAGAAAGGCAATGCAGAACGGCACCGTGAAAATTTTCCTGGCTTACAAAATTCCTCGGAGACTAACGCAATTGACCCTGTTACTCCAAATTCCTTTAAAACGAAACTAGATCCAACGCGTAACAGAAGAAAGAGAGGGCGATATAGAACTGGCTAGTGTTCGCACCAGCGATCGCGTGTACATTACGACCAAGCGACCTGGCAAACCACCATCTAAAAGGTAATGGGCTCTTTTGCAGCCTGTCTACACAGCCTGTTACAGTTCGCTGATAACGAAACCGAGCGTTATCTGGCTTTCTTTTCGAACGCTGTAAATCTGCCTACCAACAAGACACATACAACAGGCTCTATACCAGTGGCGCACCTTATCAGTAGACTAAAGGTACGGTTCAATTCCAACAACTGCCTGCATAGCAAATTTTCCTACAATTTTCGCATACTGCAAACCATTTCTTTTTCAACTTGGAGATGCATGCACGGATATAAGACGGGCGAAATATTGTGGGACAAAGGACGCGTACTTTGAATCTGGAATGAAATTAAGCTCATATGACGGTTTATGAGATTCCAAATGTAGTTTTTTCGATTGGTATCATCAGTGAAAAGTCTTAAAGCTGGAGATTCTTCCCTTGATATGCAAAACAAGAAATGCTTAACACATGTATGTAGGACACTGAATTATTATACTGTAAAAAGAAAGCTGGTAGATGGAAACTACTTCCTCTGTATTATGAAATATGAAATTTTAGCCGTTAGAGAATTTAGAGATTTTTTTAAGTGTCTGTACTCATTCTGGATTCGTTCTAGGAAACTAATTTGAATTACCTGCATCCATATTTAGGTTGAATTTTGATCTATTAAACGTTTCACTTTGGCAGATTTTGGCAACGGATATAATGCTTACACTCTCAAGTACACAAAAATATTAATAACCACTGGCTGCGTCCTCCTTATCAAATCTTAGCTTCTAGCGGGTAGTTCCTATCTGATGACATTTCATAAAATATTCATTAATATTAATTTATTAATTCCAATGATCTCCGGACATTAAAATTTTATGGACATATGTATAAGTAATTATGAATGAATTATAGGCATTATGAATGCATTTCTTTACTATCACATGTGACAGGTTATGTAATAACATAAAAATCGAAAGGATTACTTAAAGAATTCCTCCGGACTGGCGGCCACCTAATGCACCTTCTATTTTTTGGCCAACAAAACATGCATCGTTTTTTAAAACAGTCCAAATCCTAATCATCGTCGAATATTTAGAAACACTCATGTAACAAGGAGGACAAACAAGCAGTCACATCAAATCGTAAAACAGACAATTTCATACTTTAGATGCTTTAGAGATGCACTGGTTTGAAACTTTCCTGGCCCAGCATGTAGAAAATACGTTTTACTTAAGCAACCGTTTTCAATCCTAAACACAAGACTACATATACTTTGACCAAAACAGGCAGTAACTTCACTATCTGGCCTATCTACTTGATGTGTGGGACAATGGCCACGACTTGGATAACAATGGCCATGTTTACAACGTGCGTAGCTAACAAGAATTTGCTGTTCCGCGAGATGACGGATCACCAGCCCATTCAAGTTACGCGATAAGCTAAACTTTTGACACAACATTAATTATCATGTTGGCGCTGTGATCACTAGTGCTGTTCTGAACGCGTAAACATAGCCGATATTTGACTACAATACATGCCTGGCATAAGATTTGACACATCTTTAAGTAGGGGGCGTGAGCAGAAAGATCATATATTTAAGCGCTTTTCTGGCGACCATCCTCTAGAATCCACTCTGAGGAAGTATTCGCCTTCTATTACCAGCACAATTGAAACTGTGCTGGGTCATCACACCACCTTGTTCAGTTGTTTGGAGTAGGCGATGCCCCAGACCTGAGTAACTAATGCGGAAAATCTACCAGGGGCTCAGTGATTTCCAAGTAGCTAAATACCCTTTTGCCCAAACAGAATGCAAACTACATGTATGGTGATTTAGTAGGCCAGAACGCCACTGTATCCGAGACCCGATTTTGCACCAGAGAATTGATGGTGGTCATTATGGGCACAACTGCACACTCTGGTGGTGTAATTGGGACACGGTTAGCCGTTAGATGGGCTAATAAAATGCAGGTGCAACTTGGGATACAAACAAGCTGTTGGAATATATTGTTCCACGGAGAAGAAAGAACCGGATAGCTAGTGCTAGGATAGAATCAGCAAGGTTTTCTGTAGTGGACCTCTCTGCAGCTATTTATTTTCAGGAGACAACTGCAATAATTCTTTAGCGCTAA